GTGTACCTCTGGTGCAAATTACTGACCTCTGTCATCATTTTAAGTGGGGGAACTTGCACAATCGGTGGCTGACTAAATACTTTTTTGCCCCACTGTATTAGTATAATCCCATTTAAGAACTTAATTAAAAATAAGTTATGAGTTAGAAACTACTGTTAAAAGGTACGTGAAGTTACGAATTTGTGATAAATAAAGTATTCACCATCTTAATCAAAACATTTAAACTACTTAGATCTTTAGGTTTATCAGATCTAACTTACTTGGGGTTATGTAGCATTTTCTTTTCTTTTTTTAGGCATGGGAATGGGTGGGTGACATTACAGAAATATATATTTATTGGCAACATCCTTAGTGTTATAATACAAAATTTTAAATTCTGAGTGCTAAATTGCTTGGATCAGCAACATTTTGTAGTATTTAAAATCAGCAGTCTGTTTGATATCATTTACAGTCCACTGTTCTACTTTTCAAAAAATGTATTGAAGACAAGCATTTGTTAAAAGATGTTAATTAGTAGAAATATAGTTGCAGATATGGTTCTACAAAGATCATTTTTTGTTTATATGGTAAATATAAACAGAGTAGATACTAAAGGAACCACAATGAAGAGAAATAAATAAATATAGAAACTGTAGTGATTGATGCAGATGTGAATTATGGCAGTTAGTCAGAGTACATGTTAGACTCTCAGTTTTGACCTTTGTGTCCTTGGAATTCAGCTATGAACAGAGCTCAGAATAAGTCATCCCGTGAGGAATTATCTGATATAGATCTGCTACAGAAATGTTATTCTTCTTCACAAACTTAACACATGCACAAATTATGACATTTTGTTTTATTGTCTTATTCATCTTTTTTTTTTCCATGTTCTGTTGTTCAGCAAGAAGGACTCCTTAGAGTAGGCATCAGACAACTTCACCAATATTGGTGAAGTCGTCCAGGCTTCACATGGAAGAAATTAAAAATAAATAAAAAGGGTCAACAAAGATCAATCTTTCTTGATGAGTGTTTTCTTTAAGACAGGAGAAACAACATATTTGCTGAATCCAGTGCCTTAAATTCTGTTTGGGTCAGATATACAGCATGCATAGTCTCGAGGTAGCTTTCATGGTCTATACGTTTTCTGACAACACAACCAGAATCATATCAATCAAAGATTTACAGAGACTACAAGGGACTTTTAGGGTACTCAGCTGTGTAACTCAAAGGGTTCTTTCCTAAATGTAAACAGGCAATAGATCAGTATGTTTTAACAATTCATTGAAACATTGCTATAAATTCATTTTATTTTTAAAATGTTTTTAAATTCATCCTAAAAATGTGCTCTGCATTCACATTTTTACTGTAATTCAACCTTTTTTTATTTGTTGAACTACTGCAGTAAGAGCAGAGTGATTCTGTTTCACTTGGAACATTTTGCAAAGAACCAGAAGTAACATTAGAATAACTGGATATTATTTCCTCACTGTGATTCTGGTTATACAAAAGTTATTTTATTTCAAAGATTACACTCAGATTATCTTTTAATTCACATTTAATTGCTTATAACAAATTTCTAGTTATCTAAAAAGTTTGACACACCTGAAATTTGGTGCAAAAAGTATGTTCCTAACACTTCCTCATTGTTAGTTTGGTTGTTTCCATGAAGAATACTTAAAGCTTGCAAAACTGCATCATTCAGTCTTTCACCCACCAATATAAAATAATGTTTAAAAAAAAACCAAAAAAAAAACCTTAAATAGCAGTCACATTTGTACTCAGTTTATGGCACACACTCACAAATGCTCTCTGGAATATGCGAGTTGTAGCAGGCAGTGTGGGTTGTGCTGGTGACCCGGTGTACTGCTGTTTAAATATGCTGGGAAAGTACTAGTATGCTTGGCCTGTCTCAACTTGCAGCAGTCCCAGTACAGCTGAGTGGTCAGCCAGCTTCATTCTGCGCTGATTGGAGAGATTGACGTTCTTAGCCAGGTAATCCACAGCAGCTGTGGAGAATAGAAGACAGGATGGAGAGTTAATGAAGATTTGTTAGAATCCTTGCCGCTTGCAATTGATAAAATGGTAAATGGACTGAAAGTCACTAAGGCAAAAACTAATTAACTAAAGTTAATACAAATACAAAGGACTAAGAACAAAACGGTTTACAAAAGGATTACAATGTGAGACAACCGAACCAGACAACTTGACAATGAACAGAGGGAAACACACACACCCACACACCCACCCACCCACACACACACAACAGGGGAAGCAAAACTGAACACGCTGAACACAAGACAAAAGACTGTCAAAATAAAATCGGAAACACACTAAGATGCAGACCAAAATACATGGCATGATACAGGGATAAGAGGAAGGAACACACAGGGGAACAAGGCAGACTGAGGAGAAAAAGGGAGGTGACACAATGAGAGAAACATGGAAGTAATTAAGAAAGATGAGACACTGAGGGGGAGAGAGAGACAGGATGGGCTGGGGAGAACATACATGAATGCACATGACAGACAGGGGAGACAGAATGAAACACAAGGAGGGAAAATGGAAAGGGAAAGGGAGACAAAACACAAAGGCATTACCGGGACCTGGGAAACATGCAGGGGAAGGCACGTAAACACAGATGACACGACAGACACAAGAGACCAAAACACAAGGGGAACCTAACAGACAAGAAACTAAACATAGTCAATCACCCAGGAACACAGAATAAACTAAAGACTAACTAATGAACCTTAAACCATCATCATAATATATAACAATCACCAGAACCCAAGAAACTCACAATGCTGGGTCGGATGACCCAGAACCATGACACTACTTTTACATTATGAGTAAATCATGTCATTTCATGGTTTACTATTTATCCTGCAAACCTAAATGATCAGTTCATTTCCCCTTGTACTCATTCTTGATAGCACCTCCTGACAATGTGTTATGACTAAGAACAACAGTGGCATTTCACTGCACAGGGTACTGCTTTGTCATTTTTCATTGTCCAGGGCTGCGCTTCAAGTGAGTGTATTGTTTGATGAGAAAGCCTGAAAAACTGTTAAAAGGGTGTTCTTTCTGGTCTATCTTGGGATTATCTGATCATATGTCTCTCTAATGTTGTAGAGTATTTATCTTTCAGTATAAAGAGAACTGGAGTGTAGGACGAACATAATTTTTGATTTTAGCTTTTGTTTTTCCACTTTGCCGTTTGTTTATATGTAGGTACCAAAACTGCTTGGTTAAACTCTTAAGCACAAATTAGAAGGCAATCTTGTCCCTTATCATTTCTTCATTTTTTAAATCACCATGATTGTGAAGAGAAATTGTAGAAGGCAAAGGAACTCAGACTCAAGATATCTTATACATGTGCACACATGGACGATCGTCCCTCACCGTCCAATCCATCCTGCATCAGATGTGTGCAGGACAAATGTGAGACAGAGGAAAGACCGCCCAGGGCTTTCAGAGCTTTCTTTATTTATACTTAACCCGAGCTTTCAGGGAAGTAGGAGTGGCAAAAACATTTCCACAAAAGGAGAAAGAGACCGTTAGCTTGCCTGTTAACAAAGGAGGTAGTATGTATGTTACAGCATTCCTCTGCACATCTGTTTTCACTCCCTTTTCCTGTGTGGTAGTTTCAATTCAACAGCTCTTCTTCCTTTAAAGGAAGCTACAACTAAGCATAATCACAAAACTCAAAAATCTCTCAACAATGATGAGAATTTTTGATCAGCAGAGGAAATTTGGTCTTGTGATGTACTAGTGCGTATATGTATGAGGTAACTGTTTTGATTTGATTGATGTATAAAAAATAAAGTACTTAATTACTCACAAGTAATTTGTTATTCAATTCAATTTTATTTATATAGCACCAAATCACAACAAAAGTCGCCTCATATACTACTCTGTACATTACTTTCATGTGACTCCATAAATTAGTGTTTCCTAACCTTTTGGAGCCATCGCACATATTTCACAAAAGAAAAATCACATGGCACACCACCAATCAAAAATTTTTCCTCGCACCAGGCTCTGTTTGTCCCCAGTATACCTTTCTTGCCTTCTTCTGGCCACTACTCATGCTAGGGCCTTGATCTGGGTCAGAATTTTTTCCAGGACCCAGGTCAGATTGACTACTTTTTTCAAATCTCACAGCATGACTATTATGCAATTTCTTCTTCTGTTTTACCTGCAGTTGGCAACCTATTTAATTAGAGCAGATAGTTATACTAGTGCTAGTGGAAAATAATGTAATTGTTCTGCCCGTTTCTCACGCCGATGGCTTAGAGTACGAATCAGGTGGAACCAGATAATCTTCAACGGAACACCTGATCAACTGTTGGGAAACAGCCATAAATGACCATGGTCACATAATTACACATAATTTCCATACATAAACACAAATCCCGATACTAATGAGGACACATATGATCATTTAGTTTTTATGCATGAACATGAAAACTGACAACACAAGAAAAATTGAGAGACTTAGGAGAGAATGCCACAGTGACTTTTAAAAACATGAACACATACAAATGCGCTTGCTCATCACTGCCTTTATTGTGTGTTGAAGAGGCTCTGGCTGCTGAGCTGGGGTCAACATACACTCATCTTTACATCATTCTGGGTTCTAGCCAGTGTTGGGAAGGTATTCCAAGATGTATTATTCCACTACAGATTACAGAATCCATGGCCCAACATGTATTTTGTAATGTATTCCATTAAGTTACTCAATTCTGTCTCACAGAAACATGGCTAAAAGACTCAGCCTTCCAGATCCATGGCTAAGTCCATGGCAGAGTGAAACAGTTCAGGGGGTCGGCCCCACAGAAGGTTGTGAAGGCAACACAAATCCAAAAGCCGGCCGTGCGGAAGGCAGCAGCGGCGACACAAATCCGGAGACCGGCAGCGCGGAAGGCAGCGGTGGCAACACCGTTCAGGCGATGGTGATAGTCGGACGGGCTCCTTAGACCCCCCCCAGCGGAAGCCGCAGGCGACGGTGATGGCCAGACGGGCTCCTCGGACCCCCCCAGCGAAACTAGGAGGCGGGAGTGGATCTTCATGCCCCCCCCAGCAAAGAATGAAGGCTGAAGCAGCCCCTCGGACCCTCCAGCGAAGGCCAAAGCGGCTCTTCGGACACTCCGGGAAAGACCGAAGGCTGAAGCGGTTTCTTGGACCCCCCAGCGAGAACAGTCACAGAACCAGTGTGAGCCAGTGTGAGCCTCTGGCACACACGAAACAAAACCAGCAGGCACGGGGGCCTCTGGCACACACAAAGCAAAACCAGCAGGCACGGGGGCCTCCAGCAAACATGAGGCAGACTGCAGCTGCGCAGAGCACTGACCCTGCTCAGGCAGCGACAGCCGGGCACAGTCCTCAGCTGGCTCATTAGCCTCCAGGGGTCCAGAGTCAGCTGAGGCCTGGAGTGTGTAAAAGTCTCAGAACAGGCCAGCTTTTGAGAAACCAGTTTAGTGTTAATACAGTGGGGCAAAAAAGTATTTAGTCAGCCACCGATTGTGCAAGTTCCCCCACCTAAAATGATGACAGAGGTCAGTAATTTGCACCAGAG